TTGTTATTTCATTCATACATTTTTTTAAGAAAAAAGCTATTTGTACAAAAAGAATTTGACAAAAATGTTGACAAACACTCACATGATTGCCGGCCCCACATGAATAAAAAATTGAAAATAAAAAGTGGGCCCCCCCACATGTGAGGGTTTGTCAACATTTTTGTACAAATTCTTTTGTACAAGTAGCAAGGTCGGTTGCTCAATTGGTCAGGTCTTGAGTTTGCTTCTCAATGGTCACCAGTTCGATTCCCCTCAAGACCACTGAGGTGAGTACTCGGCCGTAAACTTTAGAACCCCGTGGAATTAGACGAGGTACGCACAAGCTGACCCGAACATCCACGGTTATCAAAAAAAAAAAAAAATTTACTTTATCTGTATTTAAAATCATTGTAAGATAGTTTTTTTAAATTTTTAAATTTATTTTAAATTATAACTCTCTAACAGTTAAAAATTTTATATAATTCAATTATAATTTGTCCGAAAATGAAATTAACGGGAAAAAAATTAAAAAGTATTGAATATATATTATTTAAAAAGGAAATAAAGAGAACCAACATTTTGTACAACGTATCTCCTCACAAAATCTTGACTATGAAATTGTCAGTGAAGATTTCGAAAATATTAGGGAAACGTCGCCTTCATTTGCAAAATATCAACAATGTCATTAACAAATTTTCTAACCTAATTAATATACGAGATAAAAATAACTATTTATTTTTTCATTGACTGGGAAAGAAAAGTCAGAACTAGAAAAACGCTGACAAAACCCACGCGCATTTCATTAGAGTGACCAAAACGCTGCAATTATATCCTAATAATTGCTGCAAATGGGATTTCAGCTGTCTCAATCCCATTATTTAATGTTTGCTCAAACTTAAAAAATTTACTGACACATGATAAGGAACATTACTTGTATTCAACAGCGAGCCTATCTTGTCACTAGTCAAAGTTGAAAATGATTTCATTACTTAAAATCAACTGTAAAAAGTAATTTTAAGCTTGACAAGCATGCCTCTAGTTCTTGTCTCTGTCGCTGACATGGTAAAAAAATTCTTACAACTTGAACGCACGTTTCCACCCAACACCATTAAAAACACAGCCCTTTAGAGCAAAGGTTCTTTCTAATCCAAATCCGTACTGCAAAAAAAGATCCTTTTTTTAAAATTCTACACCAGAACTGTGTGTTTGTGTGTTTAGAGAGAGATAGAGAGAGAGTTTTTGGTGTTTGGAGAATTGGAGTGAAAAAGGGGAGAAAAACGCATTTTTAACCCACTACCTGTTCTATTCATATTTCATAATTCATCAAATGAATCTGGAATATGGTTAACGTTTTAGTAGTACAAAAAGTGAGCATTGAGTTTTTGTACTACATAGGCGTAGTACCTGTAATAGCCTTCAAGTTATAAATGTGGGTTTATGAGCATTCATTGCTCTGAATTCGGAGCATTTAGGACTCACCATACCAAATAAAATTCTGGGTTTTAGAAGTTC